GACTTTGCCTATGACATGAACTCAAAAGATGCCCGGGTCGGGGATGAGTTTATGCGCCAGATTGAAACGGTGGCCGCCTATGTGCCGTACATGGTTGTTCCGGGCAATCACGAGGAGAAGTTGTAAGTTGGCCAGCTGTGCGAAAGCGTAGATTGTTAGCTGATCGTTTATTGGATTCGCCTTGCAGCAACTTTTCCAATTACCGGGCACGCTTCAGCATGCCGGGCGGCACAGAGAATCTCTTCTACAGCTTTGACCTGGGCCCCGTGCACTTCATTGGCATCTCCACGGAGGTGTACTATTTCCTCAACTATGGCGTCAAGACGCTCGTCTTTCAGTACGAGTGGCTCAAGCGCGATCTGGAGGCGGCTAACATGCCGGAGAATCGGGCCAAGCGGCCCTGGATTATCATCTATGGCCATCGGCCGATGTACTGCAGCAATGAGAACGACAACGATTGCACCCACTCGGAGACGCTGACCCGTGTCGGTTGGCCATTTGTGCACATGTTTGGACTGGAGCCGCTGCTCTACGAGTATGGCGTTGATGTGGCCATCTGGGCGCACGAGCACTCATACGAACGCCTCTGGCCCATTTATGATTATAATGTGCGTAACGGTACACTGGGCTCACCCTATGAGAATCCGCGTGCGCCTGTCCATATCATAACCGGCTCGGCCGGCTGCAAGGAGGGACGTGAACCCTTCAAGGGCAAGATACCCGAGTGGAGCGCATTCCATAGCCAGGATTATGGCTACACGCGTCTCAAGGCACACAATCGCACCCATTTGTACTTTGAGCAGGTGTCCGATGATCAGCAGGGCGCCATTATTGACAAGTTCTGGCTAATTAAATCGCAGCACGGCGCCTACAGTAAACTCTAAATAGGCGAAGATCCTAGATCAAGCAAATGGACGGACGCACACACACACATTCACACACACACACACACACACAGAACTCTAGCAACTGGCAGTATTAGCGCACATTCTTTTATATATTATATAGCTCAATTTAACGCCTATTTAGCACATTTCTGTTGCCAAACAAAACCTTAAACACAACTGCAACTGCAACTGCAACTGCAACTGCAACTGCAACTGTTGCCCAGTATAAGCCCAGAACAAACTGTATTTGAATACTTTAAATTAGCCAATTTTAACTGCATGTATTTTATGTTGACGTATATATACATCGTGTTGTATATGTTTATTTGTATATCTGTTAAGAGGTCTATCCAGTAATATCAAGAGTTGTTATTTTAACACTTTCACAAATTGAATACTTTGTTTTTTCTTGTTCAATCAATGTTACCCCATAAGTTTTTTGCGTCAGAGGGTTCGAATATATATTCTTTATATATTCACCAAAGAACTGCCTTCAAAAGTGTTTTTTTTTTTTATATACGAATTGTTTGCCTTAAGCAACCTCAAATTAGGAAGGTCATAGCATCTAGTTTTGTTTTAAGAATAGAAAGACTTTCCTTTTAGCCGCATTTACCCAATAATCATGCTCTAACTTAAGTTCTGCATTGAAGAAGCGCTAACTACCGAAAATAATGCCAATTTTCTAGCATAAGTTTTGGGTACAAGACGGTGTCCAGCGTCTATTTCAATTGTTCGACTACTTTCGTGTCCGAAACCCAATTTAAATGATAAATAAAAGCATTTATCAATAACTAACGATTTTGTAAGATCGTCTATCGCAATATGTTAAGCGGTTATCGATAACCGATAACTGATTATCGATAACACCTGATTGTGCATATATCGACTGTGAATAATGGCAAAGTGTGCCGTGTGCGCTTCTCCCAGAAACTGTCCTGGACATTGTCGTCACCTGGAATACGCGCGACAACACAAACGAATCGATATGCGAATACGGTATCGATGGCATCGCCGAGCAGCGCATCAAAGCGCCCCATGGACCCAGCGCCTTTGTCGATGGCGGCGCCAAAAAGGCCAAACAGTATATCCATCGCGTAAGTAGAGATCCGCTGGCGCTGGCGGCACAGTTACACGACACTGGCACTATAGAAAACGCTTCCACAGGTGACGCTGGCAGAGCTGCGGCCAAACACCACGTATCATTACCATTGCGGCAGCCAGCTGGGCTGGTCGGCGATCTATTGGTTCCATACGCCGCACAATCACAGCGACTGGTCACCCTCGCTGGCCATTTACGGTGACATGGGCGTGGTGAATGCCGCATCGCTGCCGGCGCTGCAGCGTGAAACGCAGCTGGGCATGTACGATGCCATTTTGCATGTGGGCGACTTTGCGTACGATATGTGCAACGAGGATGGCGCCGTTGGGGATGAGTTTATGCGTCAGGTGGAAACGATTGCCGCCTATGTGCCGTACATGGTCTGTGTCGGCAATCACGAGGAGAAGTAGTAAGTGCTCGGTGAAACTACAGAAGAAGAAGAATTGATCAATATTGATTAAAATCTGCTCCGCCTGGTGCAGCAATTTCTCGCACTATGTCAATCGATTCAGCATGCCGGGCGGCACAGATAACCTGTTCTATAGCTTCAATCTCGGACCGGTTCACTTTATTGGCTTCAGCACCGAGGTGTACTATTTTACGCAATTCGGTCTCAAGCCAATTGTCATGCAGTATGATTGGCTGGAGCGTGATCTGATGGTGGCCAGCAGGCCAGAGAATCGCGCCAAGCGTCCGTGGATCATCACCTATGGCCATCGGCCGATGTACTGCAGCAATGACAATGGCGACGATTGCGCCAATCATGAGACTGTCGTGCGCAAAGGTTTGCCCGGCCTGAATTTCTTTGGCCTGGAGCCGCTCTTCTACAAGTACGGCGTCGATGTCGAACTGTGGGCCCATGAGCACTGCTACGAGCGCATGTGGCCAATGTACAACTATACCGTATATAATGGTTCGCGATCGGAGCCGTATGTCAATCCGGGTGCACCGGTGCACATCATATCGGGCGCTGCCGGCAATCATGAGGGACGCGAGCCATTCTTTAAGCATATGCCGCCCTGGAGCGCCTTCCACAGTCAGGACTTTGGCTATTTGCGACTGAAGGCCCACAATGCCACCCATTTGTACTTCGAGCAAGTGTCCGACGACCAAGGAGGCGCCATTATAGACAAGTTCTGGGTCATCAAGCATAGTCACGGGCCGTACAGACCTGCCTAAACCTATACCTAATATTCTAGTATCTTATCTACTTATATATACATATATATATATATATCTTTTACTGATTGTTGTAATTCAATCCAAAGCATTCAATAAACCGCAGTATTTACATGCAACTGGACACAGTTTAGATTCTATGGAAGCATTTAATGCTATAGGCTTTGTCCGAGCTTTCACTAATTGGGTTTACACGCTTTTTCCGCTTGTTATCGTGGATTTTCATAGAAAAAATATTCAGCTGAACCATCAAGTTGATTGTTGTCCATTTGATTCCTTGCAGACAGCCTGCAGGACATTGTGGTGACCTGGTCGACGCGCAGCTCGACCAATCAATCGATCGTCAACTTTGCCCAGGACTATGTCCACGACAAGCTGAGCGTGATCAGCGGCAGCTGGCAGCTCTTCGAGGACGGCGGCAAGCAGGCGCGCACCCAGTACATACACAAGGTGACGTTGCCCGCACTGCAGCCGGGCACGCGATACGAGTACAGCTGCGGCAGCAACCTGGGCTGGTCGGCGGTCTACAGCTTTAGGACACCGCCGGCGGGCGACAAGTGGTCACCCTCGCTGGCCATCTACGGTGATATGGGCAATGAGAATGCACAGTCGTTGGCGCGCCTGCAGCAGGATACACAGCTGGGCATGTACGATGCGATTATCCATGTGGGTGACTTCGCCTACGACATGGACACAGACGATGCCCGGGTCGGGGATGAGTTTATGCGCCAGATTGAGACGGTGGCCGCCTATGTGCCGTACATGGTCTGTCCAGGAAATCACGAGGAGAAATAGTACGTATAAATATGGTTGCCTTGTTGACCAAGTGAACCAATTCGATGCTCTCCTGCCCTGCAGCAACTTCTCCAATTATCGGGCACGCTTCAATATGCCCGGAAACGGTGACAGTTTGTGGTACAGCTTCAATATGGGACCAGTGCACTTTGTGTCCTTCTCCACGGAGGTGTACTATTTCATTAACTATGGCATGAAGCTGCTCACCAAGCAATTCGAGTGGTTGGACCAGGATTTGGCTGAGGCCAATTTGCCAGAGAATCGCGCCAAGCGACCCTGGATCATCACGTTCGGCCATCGCCCGATGTACTGCAGCGACGACAAGGAGTACGACTGCAATGGCAAGCTGGAGACATATATACGGCAGGGATTGCCGACGCTCAAGTGGTTTGGACTGGAGGATCTGTTCTATAAGCATGGAGTTGATGTCGAGTTCTTTGCACACGAACATTTCTATACTCGCCTGTGGCCCATTTATGATTTCAAGGTTTACAATGGCAGCGCCGAGGCACCCTACACAAATCCCAAGGCGCCCATACAGATCATAACTGGCTCCGCCGGCTGCAATGAGAACCGAGAGCCCTTCTCCAACAATTTGCCCGATTGGAATGCGTTTCACAGCAACGTAAGTAACGGAATCTACATTCGATAACTGCGTGTCAAGTATGTCCAAAACTATCGCATTGCAAACTATCGATACATTTCCAACACACGGGCTAGCAACAAAATGATCGATACATGTAGCACAACAATCGGCTTTGCAACATGTTGCGAAGCGCTTTGCCTATTTTTTTTCTTTCAATTTTCAATTTTCATTTCTGTGAAATTATTGTCCTTAAACTCTGTTCTGTTCTTGCCATTCTTTCAGGACTACGGCTACACGCGCCTCAAGGCCCACAATGGCACACATTTGTACTTTGAACAGGTCTCCGATGACAAGGAAGGCCAGATTGTCGACTCCTTCTGGGTCATCAAGGATAAGCACGGCGCATACGCCTAGAGAGAGAGAGAGAGTCCTGCCTCCAGTTAGCAACAAGTTATACAATTTTCTGCTTCGCTTATTTTGTTTAACATATTTCAAATATTAAGTTAGAAAAAAATATATTTATGTTTATGATAGAATGGGAGACAAAAAAAAAAAAAAAATAATAAATTGCACTAAACTTAAATGTGTTCCATGCTATGCGCCGCATCCTAGTAGACCGTGCCCGAGATGCCGGCACCATAATTGTAGCCAGCGGCGCCGGCGCCAATGGGCGGCACACCGCCCAACGCCCCCAAACCGCCGCCCACCACGCTGTTGCCATAGTTGCTGCTGTAATAGCTGGAGGGATAGCCTCCGGCGCCGAAGCGTGTATTGTAATACGGGTAGCCAGTGCCGACGCCTACGCCGGCGCCGGCGCCCAGGCGTGAATTGTAATAGGACAGCGCATAAGGATTCGAATTGTAACCGGCGCCATAGTAGCCAGCGCTGCCCAATGATGAGCCGTAGCCGCCCAGCGTGGAACCATAGTTGCCCAGTGTGGAGCCATAGCCGCCCAGTGTGGAACCATAGCCGCCCAGTGTGGAGCCATAGCCGCCCAGTGTGGAGCCATAGCCACCATAGCCGGCAGCACCATCTAGTGTTGTAAAATGCCAACAGAGATTAGTACAGTTCGCGGATTCCAGTGCCGCCCATGCTCACCTAAGCCTCCGAAACCGCGTGCGCCATATGGATTGTAGTAGCTATCCACGCCGCTGCCGTAGCCGGCGCCCAGCGTGGAGCCATATGCTCCATAGTTGCCGTAACCAGCATAGCCGGCATTGGTGCCATAGCCAGCATAACCACCATAACCACCGTATCCACCAACATAGCGCTTCTCCTGCTTCTTCTCCTGCAGCGGTGCATAGCTGCTGGCGGCGCTCAACTGATCAGCCGCTGGCGATGCTGCCACCTGCTCCTGCTGCTGCTGCTGCTGCTCCTGATCCTGTGCCAGCGTCTCGCTCACCAGCAGCATCGCTGCAACAAATACGATCTGCAACCAAATCGAATTTAGTAACGGGCTAATCCGGCTATGCGCCAAATGGCGACGCTCTTACAAAGCACTTCATGTGGTGGCTGCCTGGGTGTGGATTCAATTGGATGTGGCTGCTTCGACTGCGGACTGTTGAACCTTGCTAATGTGCACGCGTCGCCTGACACTTGTCTAATGCTCTGGCTGCCCCAAAGCCAGTCGCTTTTATACACCTGCCGCACACACACACACACACACACACACACACGCAACGAGACACTGCGAGCGAGAGAGCAAGGGAGGGAGCTACAGAGTTGGAGCGCCGCTTGCGGCTTGTGGGTGGTTTCTGTGCCTATGACACATGCCGCGACCCAATGTAGCTTCAATGTATCCATGTGGTCAGGTTATTTGGCTTGGAAAACGATGTTGGTTTTTATTTGCCAATCAAATTGGGCGTAGATCAAAAGCGCCAGCAATAAGAGAATATACATACGTACATACATACATACGCATGCATACGCACACACATGCAAACATACTCACACACATGCATACACACATATATAAAAGGAAGATGTGCAGCTAACTTAGTTGTCTTCATTTGCTTGAAAAGTTGCAAGGAAAACATGCTCGCAGAACTAATTTCCCAGAACAGAATTTCCCCTCTGAGAGAGAAAGATTGAGAGTGAGCGCGAGTAAGGGCATAAAAATGTCCCTAGCAAAAATGTGCCCAGCTTTATACAGAGGGAAATTTTAAGGCATATAACCACAGCTCTAGCCAACACACCCCCCCCCCCCCCCCCCCCCCGTTCACTCTTCCAAGTTGCCAGCGTTCCGTGCTTGGCGCGTTTTATTGCTTGATTTGATTTTGAAATATTCGCTTTTAAGACAGTGCCGTGTCACGGAGCTTACGGGTATTATCAATATTCCCACGATCTACGACAATTACGAACTATTGCCAACGAGCGCAGCGGCGATGACAAATGCTAATTGAATCATTAACTTGACCCTGGCTCAACTAATTGCCCAACATAAAACAAAGCAAAACAATAACAATAACAATAACAGCAACAACAATAAAAACAACTATAATCAGAGTCTTTAAAATGGAATCGGTGCCAGAAGATAAATAGCACATATTGCGCCTAGAAACGGATACGAAATGTGGGTCGTGAGTCATTTCGCAGAGTTTGCATTTTCACTTTTCAAAAAAAAAAGAAAAAAACAACAACAAAAACGCTCAAGACAAAAATGTCATAAAATAAAAAAGAAACTAGCTAATTTTTATTTGTTTTTCCAATTTTTTGTTTAACTTTTTTTTTTATTTTGGCAACTGTCACACAAAGCACGCAATTGTCAGCTACTGCTTCCAGTTGGAATGGTCACTGGAAGTGCAACTCATAACGGTCAGCCAACAGTTCAATGAGCAGCTCACAATCGAGCGATCACTGGAATGGCAACTGAAAGTCCTTAAGCTCACAATGAACAACAAAAAGCCCGGTTTTAGCTTTAACTTCCAGTTGAAGTTGTGACTGGAAGGCTACAATCCAATGAAAGCCGTTGGAAATATTTCAATTACCACATGTGAGCGTTAAGCTCTTACTGGAAGTGGGCCTGGAGGCAGAGGTCAGATCGGTCCACAATACAATGGGCAGTGGAATGCCTCGACTAGAATTGTGACTGGAAGTGAAACGCCAGGTCCCTAAGCAGCTCACAATGGGCAGCAAACTTCCAGCTGTAACTGGTCGAAAAATATTCATCATATTGCTAAAGCCGCAATCCAAGCCGAAGTGAAACGTATAAAGTAGTTCCTGAGCTTCTTTTCTAGTGAGCATTAGCTTCCAGCTGGAATTGCCACTCAATTCGTTGAGACCGCAATCCAATGGGCAGTGGAATGCCTAAAAATATCAAACGCTTAACATTGGACAAGAATTGTGACTGGAAGTGGAGCTCAAGTCTTGGAATGTAAGAGCTGCTAGCATCAACTTCCAACTGGAAGTGAAACTCAATTCAATGCCATTTCATTGGAAAGCAAGAAAGTGTTACCTTCCAGATAGAATTGCAACTGGAAGTGGAACTCAATTCGATTGGGCGACAGTCGCATGATTGGAAATAGAGGAGCAACTGGAAGTGGAACTCGCTACGTTCATTCAAAGTCCACGATTCAATAAGAAGCGAAATGTTAAAGGTAATTCGTTGGAAATGTAAGAGCAACAACTAAATAAATACTTGCCCATATAAATAAGGTATATGATATATGCACACATTTACATATAGACATCTATATATATATATATATTTATATGTATATATGAATATATATGCCTATGTAGAAATCGTAATTGTCATAGATGTCAGCCACGAATATGAGTGCCGCACATTGTTCGATAGATGTGAAAAGTGTTAACTCGCTTTGTGGGCGACGGCTTGGTCCGGGGCATGCCCGGCCTCAGTGCCAGCTCAGCTCGACATGGCCCTGGGAGTTTTCTCCCTCTCTCTCTCGGTCTCTTTACCTTTAGCCATAGAGCCAGACAATGATTCTTTAACGTGAATCAAGCTGCGCGGGCAACGCGCCATAATTTCTTGGGCATACACACGCACCCGGTTCGTATACGCAATGTGCACTGAGAGAATTTGTGGCGAGTGTGCCAGCCGCAAAATGCATGGCTCTTGTTGAAAAGAAAGTCAGCGGCCAAATTTTAATTCCAAAGCTTGGAAAAATTCTGAAATTTATTGTGAGATGCTGCCAAAACTTTAATAAAACACGATTTCATTAAGCTCGCCAAGTCTTTTGCTAAGTGTAAGGCTTACAACTTGGCTAACTGTACCGTTAGACCTTATGGCCCAAACACTTTTAGGCCATTTGGCTGGCTTTTAAGACCTGCACTCTTTGGGGTATATGGGTTCCAGGCAAATGTCTGTGATATATTTCGTATCAGGCGTCGATAAGCTGAGGCAATCCAGCCAAGCCAAACTGTCTGTCCGTCCATCTACTTGAAATTCAAAGTTAAATTTTCCTCTTTATCGATTTTGTTTTTGTACTTCAACGTAGCTCGACAAACTTTGTGGCTGAATGCTAAGGCAGGCATATAAGTATAAGCACTGAAAATTTCAAAAAGATCGGATCATAAGGTCCGATGTCAATCAAAAATGCATTTGCCTTGTGTGCGTGTGTATGTTTTTTTTTTTGTAGGGTATCAACTCGCCTGTTGCTTGATTTTCAGCTGTTGTGCTACTAGGAATATGTTTAATTTTTTGGCAAAGTGCAAACTGCGATTCTGGGCTGGGCGTCGTCGAGCTGTCTGACTAAACAGGTGAACAGCAATTGCGTTGTTCTAATTCAGCGAGCAAATCACGAACAGCAACAACATTGCCTCAATCGCCGTCACATTTCGCACGCCCACCAATTATATTTACAAACCCATTTTTAATTATAATTGAACAACGTCTTAAAAGAAAAAATAAAAAAAACAGCAGCAGCAGCAGCAGCAAAAACTGAGCAATTCGAACCGCAGTCAATTTCCAGGCGTCAGCAAATGAAGCGGCTAAGGGCAAGGGGCGTGGCTGGGCGGGGCGGGGCGTTGGCCAAGAAAATTGTAATGAAAAACTTAATGAAGTGAATGCCTTGATGCTTCGCGTTGAACTTGCACTTTGCATAATTGCAGTGTGTGTGTGTTTATTTTTCTTGATTTTTGCATTTTTTTTTCTTTTTTTTAAGAAGTTTCACACAATTATCCATTTATGTGGGCATTAATTCTTGTGCGAAAAACTCAGAAAACTCAGCTCACACACTTGGACTTGGCCCTGAGATTGCGACTGACTGCAGCAGCAGCAGCAGCAACAGCAGAAGTTACTGCAACTGCAGCCAAATCAATTTTGCAACAAACATAAATTTCGGAGAGTGTGCGAGTGTGTGTGTGTGTGTGGGAGTTGTCAATCGGAGTAACTACCCACCACGCCCCTCACAATTCAAGCCAAATCTAAACGGTTTCAATATATTCTGATACACTGAACAAAATGATATGCTTCCCATTTCAGGCAATTTACATTAGATCATTGTGGAATGCAATTGATCAAATGTCGGAGAATCTTTTCCGATAATCTAAAAATCATATACCATATACCTTACCTTACCTTACCTTACCTTACCGCCCTTAAATCGGAGAGCTGTTCAACGTATTTCGGAGTTTTTGGATAGCGTTCGGAGTTTTTGGATAGCGTTCGGAGTGTTTCGGAATGTGCTTTATATTCACGAATTATTTAGCAAATATTTTGAAGTTGTTAGCGTTCGGAGTGTTTCGGAATGTGTTTTATATTCACGAATTATTAAGCAAATATTTTGTAGACTCTATATTTAATTCGAGCGAACTTTTACTCTTTGAACATTTGATTCACTTGTCTAGACATGAAATTTGTCTTAGAAGTCGTCTATGTTCAGTGGATGGTTTTTTAATTTTCGGAACTGCTTTCGAATCGATTTTCGGAATTAGGTAAATTATGTGGGCAAGCCTTTGTCGCCTGCTCCGACTACAGGGAATAACATTCGGTCAAAGTCCGAATTCGGACTAAAAATACTTTTTGAACATTTGATTCACTTGTCTAGACATGAAATATGTCGCCTCTGTTTGGTGGGTGGTTTTTTAATTTTCGGAACTGCTTTGGAATTGATTTTCGGAGTTAGGTAAATTATGTAGGCAAACCCTTGTCACCTGCTCCGACTACAGGGTATAACATAGCTGCCGTCTACTCAGCTCTCCGCCATTTGACAGCTAACCGAAAATATTTAGTTGAGAAAGACATTGATAGCATAAGTGGATGCGGCTCTCAATCGAAACCCCCCTTTTTAATATACCCAACAATTTTGCCAGTTGAGCGAATTTGAATGGATCGTTAGAAGCCGCAAACAATGCCTGGGGCCTGTCTGGGGCTAAGAGCCATATATGTATGACATTTTCATAAATCTTTTGTCATGCCTGTGAGAAGAGCGAAGCGAGCATAAATTGTCATGGCATTGTCTTGACAGTGATCGAATGTCAAGTTCGCCGCGAACATGATTCAGAGTTTCTGGCAACCAAGTTTCCCAACAATATCTGAAAACCAAAATATATATATATATATTGCTCCCTGGACTGCGGATTTTGTGCAAAAGGTTTTCCTTGTATTCAATATATATAACTAATAT